ATACGTTTTATAGTATTCTACGAAAATTTATATACGTTTTATAGTTGTATACGAAAATTTGTAAGCAAAATAAAATGCAATACCAATATGCATACTGAACACAATATCTTAAATATCGTATCTTATCTTAAGACACTTGCACGCAACGAAAAATTATTACTTAAGTACTTTGTTAAATGTTGTCGAATAGTTGACCCAGAGATATTATCACGCTCTCGGTTAGTACCATCTACAGGCTGTGGATAAAGTACTTCTGCCTCAACTACATCATTTAGCCATTGTTGAAGAAACTGTTCCTTCTTACACTCTAGAAAGTTTTGTGAAATGCAACAAGCACTTGTAATATGTGGAACGAATACATAATTCACGTCAATTCGTTTTAGGAGTATTCTCCAACGTGCTTTTAAACGGCTAAATGCCATTTCTACGGCAACTCTTGCAGAATTGAGATGTACGTTAAAGGATTCTTGTTCAGCTGTTACACTACCGGGATAGCCTTTTAGTAGCCACGGTAACAGTGGATACGCTGGGTCACCGACAATTAAATATGGTACTGCCACACCATTGATATTTCGTGTATCCTGTAATGACAGTTATACAATATTACAGTATTACATAGTATACACATATTTACTATATACCATTTCTTAAGTTTGTATTCGTATCTGTGGAATAACATTGAGAGCATCTCTGTATAAACTTGAATCCTTGAATACAGCGGCGTCATGAGTACTTCCAGGATGTCGAATACAAATATTTCTAAATCTATATACAATACGTTTATTAATGATTATCGATTATTTTACTGCCATTCGTACACTAAATGTAAATATGTATATACCTGTATTTATCGTCAACAACTGCCAGTAACACATATGAAGGCCAACCCTTACAGTTCACAAAATCTCGACAGCCTTCTGATGGAGCCAATATAGGTATGTGCGAACCGTCGATGCATCCAATAATTTGCGGAATGTGCGATATTTTCTCAAAATGCATTGCTATTACTGAAGCTTCGTAGGTATCTGGCATGTGAAGATAATCTTTCATCATCACATCATTAATCGCATTTACAACTCTGTACAGACATTTTTTTACTGTAGATTTGTGGATTCCGAATACATTGCCCACAACACGGTATTCTGCACAACTTGCCATTTTATATAGAGCAACTTGTTTTTCACATGATAACGGTTCTCTTGATTTTAAGAATAAAGGCTTAGGCTCCAAAGCAGGTCGTAGGAAACGGCACAAATCATTGAAAGTCTCTTTACGCATGCGGAAACTTTCTATCCATTCTGCTTCAGTATATGTACATAGCACTATCTCATTCCAAAAGTGAGTGCTTCTTGCCCTCATCCATGTGCTTCTTTCAACATGTATTGCATTGAAATACATTTCTAAAATATTAACCATAGGAACCATTCGCACATACCCTATGTATAAACATTCTTTGCATCCTGTGCAATTGTCGAATTCTATCCCACATGTGTCTTCTTCGACGCATAAATTGAACAGAAATCATATTTCTCCTATTCTTTTACATCATAACACAATTTTGAAAAAACAGAATGTATTGTTCCAGCGATGTCATTTTGTACGTTACAATATGTATACAGCTGCAAAACGTAAATATGGTATACTGTTAACCTCAAAACATTTTCGCCGAATATACAAAACACGATAGATGGCTCTTAATTCGGATCAGTGTGGACTAAATACGACCTACTCAAGTCCTTGTCACTTTTTAGGTCTCCTCAGTGTAAACACTTGGTAACTAGACCTACTTTGGGTCACGGTTTAGGTCAGGCCGCTTTTAGGTCTGTCGGTGTAAACTAGGCCATAAAGTAAGTACCCGTAAGAGCGGACTCATCCGCTCTCCGAAATAAGGGGGGGGGGGCTGTGACGAGGTAAATCCGGCCCGGAGCGCGGCACGCCTGCAGACCCGCAACGGGCACGCAGTGCTCCGCAAGACCGGAGCATGCGACGTTGTCGCGACGCACAATAGGCGACAACGATGAAAGCGGCAGCAGGTGTTTGCCGCCGAATTCCCCGCCCGCGGCACCATCCCGCGCGCCCATCAACCGAGGGTATAAAAACCCACCGACGCCGTGACGACCCGACTCGGGAGTGAGTCTTCGCTTGGCCTATAGGCGCCCCTATGACCAAACGAACCTGAGAAGATAAGCAGCCCTCGAGGCGCTCCTCCGCTGCATATCTTCACGAATCCCCGCCTTCCTCCGGCCTCGCCTCTCCCGAGTATCGGGCGCTCCCGTGATCAGTCCGGGCGAGGTAACGCACACATACGAGGTGCCCCTCGGTGTGCTTCTGTTCCCGCTTTTCGGCTCCGTCTTTCCCGAGTATCGGGCGCTCCCGTGATCGGTCCGGACGGAGTAACGCACACATACGAGGTGCCCCTCGGTGTGCCCCTGTTACCTCCGGCCTCGCTTTCCCGATTATCGGACGCTCCCGTGATCGGTCCAAGCGAGGTAACGCACACATACGAGGTGCCCATCGGTGTGCTTCTAATCCTGACTCCGTCCCAGTGCACCGCTGCTCCGTGACACGAGGCACTCCCGCACGACGAGGCGCTTCTCGTCGGACGGGCTCCTGACCTCGAGGCCGCTCGGCTCCTCTTCTTCCGAAGCAAGGGGGCTAATATTCGGGTAATAGGGTATAGAGGCCGGTTCTAACTCGGGAGCTCCGAGGGGGGA